TATTATGTTGAATAAATTGATAAAATAAAAACACTAAAAATTGGAAGAAATAATTATGCAAATTTATTGAAGCCTGGAGTTATTTATACGGCAATGCCATATTAGAAATGAAACATTTTCTAACTATAAGATAAGGACCAGAATAATATGATGAAACAATTAAGATTTTATATATTGTCGCACCACCTTGGTATATTATATCTTAAAATAATAGTAGTTTGTAATAATATCAAAAATATACTTGTATTAAAAATTTAACTCAAGACTGTTTTTCGAAAATGAAAAAAATAGCTTCCCTAAAAACACGTAAAAAAGAGAAGAAAAAATTTATTACATCTATTGCAGGATGAATAATAAAATGTTTAATTTTTATATTATTTATATTTAAATAGATGGCGTTAAATACATGAATGCAATTTGTTATTATATTTATTATCAAAACCATTTATTAGTAAAATTTATTTTAATATTAACTGTAATATATTATATAACTGTCAAATACGTCTCTAAAAAAGGCATTATATCTAATATTTTATAAACAACTGTATATAGTAGAGGATTATAAACTATATATCTACTTACTTCTTATAAAGAAATCTCTTATACTTATTTGGACCTTGAAAATATTTTTAAGGTATGATAATAAAATTTAATAAATATACAGTTGATTAGTCATTTTGAACTCGGCTAATTACAATATTAAATTTGTTAATTTTCAAATAATATATGATTATATTTATTTAATTAGGGTTAAATAATAATTTAAATATTAAAAGTCAATTAAACTTCAACTGTTAAAGCTAAATTAATATTTAGTTAGTTATTGATATTATATTTATAATACAGTATTTGATTGCAAGCTGACATAGTGAAAAGATAATTTATATGTATTAATCTAATCTAATAATTAAAATAATATTCATTTAATAAAAATTTAAATAGTCTTATTAATTTCTAAATAATAAAATTATATCTATTTATTACTTAATGGAATTATCAAAGAAATCATTCAGTGGGCAGTCAAAAAAATTTATTTTTAGTTCAAGGGGATATTAAGGAGCCATTAAAAAAAAATTCTTTGCTTCAGGGGGCTATTCAAATTTTTCAGGGGGCTCGAGCCCCTGCGCCTTCCTCACCCTCTAGCGACGCCACTGTCATATGTAATCTGCCATTAACAACCTGTGTAGTCTCAAGGACATGTTGTGCAAACTTGGGAGGTATCCCAGTGCTAGGATAAAAATGAGATGTCCTGTGATAAATTTGCGCATGAACTCTAAAACAATATGGGCTCGGGTTCAAACTATTAGAAATCTGTGATGCAAACGCAAGAGAACTATTATAAGAACGAATTATTAAAGTTCGAATGAAATTAATTGTTGGGATTTGATAAAAAGTCTTGTAAAAGAGGAATATATCTGATTGATGGTATCTTAACTTTACCCTTATGAGAGCAATACTTAAATCTGCCATCTGAGGGTTTTTCCAATTTTTTTTACAGAATCACAATATTCGCACTTATTGTTGAGCAAGCCACAATAATGTTCTTGTACTAGTGATTGTTGTGCAGGAATATCTATCTAAATATATAATAATTATAATTTAGCACTTTTGTAAATAAATTAAATCTGAGGCCTGCTAAAAATTATACATATAATTTAATATTTTTGTAATTAAAACAAATCATAGACTTACAGGCCCGGCTATGTTATAAGCATATGCCAGGAATTAATATATATTTTTTTAAATATTCCTACTGGGCAATTACGATTATGTAGCACTTATAATTTTATCTTTCATTTTGCATGGTAAAATGATAGTGAAATGAGAGTTAACATAAATTAAAAATTTTAACTTAGTTTGTTTTTATTGATTGGATAGATTAAGATTTGTTTTAATGGTAGGTTTGTTAATATCAATTGTGGAATCTAATTTTAAAAAAATTAAAATATTTGTTAACATAAACTAAAATTTTTAACCCTTTGTTCTTATGAATATTAATATTAAAATATTTTACAACTTAGGATAATTAAACCAATACCTATAAAAAAAGTCAAATAATTTAGCTAAAATCAAAATGAATCAGATGTGATTTAAATTTTTAACTTACAACTTTGGATAATTAAATCAATATCTATAAAAAGTCAAATAATTAAAATCAAAATGAATCAGCATAAATTAAAATTATTTACTTGGTTTGTTTTTACTGATTTGGGTAGATTAAGATTTGGTAAAGTAGTAGGTTTTGGTGGTATTCATTGTTGAATCTAATTTAAAAAAAAATAAATATCTGTTAACATAAATTAAAATTTTTAACTCAACCAAATAATAATTTTTAAGCAATGGACGGTCAAGGTAAAAAAAGAAATTTTAAATAAATGAGCAGGCACCGTAATGCTGACTAATGGGAGCTCTGGTGGATAATGTTATCATCAAGTAAAGGTAAAATTTAATATTCATCCATAATTGAGTAATGATGAAAAATAATACATAGATAGCCAAATCAACCAAATAAATATTTTTAAGCAATGGACAGGCAAGTTAAAAAAAAATTTAAATAAATGAGCAGGCATAGCAATGCTGTCTAATAGGAGCTTTGATGGATAATGTTATCATCAAACGAAGGTAAAATTTATTATGAATAAAGATGAAAATTCTGATTCCTCATCATTATTGATTTGCAATTTAAAACCTAAAAAAATTATTTTTGGTAGATGATTTAACGAATGAAGAACCATTATATATATTTATTTATTTCTATAACTCATTTAATAGGTATCAGTTTTCATTGACATTTTATTCAGTATAATTAAACATAAGGTGCAACTTAATTACAAATGGCGATATATAATTACACGTTAAGAGATTGATGTGTACATAATACATTAGGAAGTTAAACAACACCTTTTATATTAATCGTTAATATATATATATAATCATATTTAACTGTCAAAATCATTCGTTTCGGGGGCTTATGTGTCCGCCCTCGCCTTGGGGTCTCACACTCTCTCTGATCCCTGTCAGCGATCACGCGCTCCGTCGTATCTGATATCAAACGGTCTCTTAGCTGGTCAGCATGTTTCCGTATTACACGATCTGGGGTCTTGACTACATAGGAATATAATCCCTTTCTATCCTGAATCACCCCTTCTCTCCAACCCTTAGCGGTTTCATTCCTTACCCACACATGCTGACCAACGTCAAATTCCCTAAAATTGGAATGTGTATCATGTTCTTGATTTTGTTTATCATTGGTTTTATCAATCTCCTTTCCCACCTCTGGTCTAGCCCAGTCTAGATTAGTTCTTATTTGACGACCGAACATAATCTTCGCTGGTGATCTACCCGTCGAACTATGTTCTCCCAGCCTATACTGCTGCTACCGTTTGAGTTATCGCCTCTTGCGGGTCAATAATTGATTCTCGACTGGCATAATACCTCCCTTTTAAGGTTCGAATGGTTCGTTCCGCCAGCCCATTAGTCTTCGGGTGGTACGGCGTTGAGCGAATGTGGCAAATGTTGTTTTCTTCACAAAATCGCTTAAATTCTATTGAAATGAATTGAGGTCCATTATCCGTTACAATGCTTTTAGGTACCCCAAAGGTAGCAAACCACTTCTTTAATCTCGTTATCATCTCCTTCGCCGATGTGTTCCTCATCAGGTCTACCTCAGCCCATTTTGAGTATGAATCTACTCCCACTAGCCAATATAAAGTCAACCGGTCCCGCAAAATCTAGATGTATACGTTCCCATGGCTCTTTGGTACAATTCCATGAGTATAGTGGTAACTCCATTACGTTCGGTCGATTTTTCTGACATCCAACACACAGCTTTATATACCGTTCTATGTCCTCTTCGCATTTCGGCCACCAGCAATACAATCGAAAAATAGATTTCATCGCGTTCATTCCCGGATGTCCCCGATGTAGTGTTTCCAACACTGAATTCCTAAGCTTCGTAGGGATTATCAATCTACCATTTCGTTCAACTATTCCCCTGTCTACTGTTAATTCCTCTCGTTGGGTGTGAAAGATTACTAGCTCCGGTTCTTCTTTCCGATTAAAGCCTCTCCACCCTTGCTCAATATGTTGTGCCACTCGCTTTAGTATTGGATCTTTAATTGAATTCTTGCGCAGGTTTCCCTCTGAGACCTGCATATCCTCTAAGTTTACGTTCCGAAATCGTGGAGCGGTAGCCTGGATAAGGCGTCTGCTATAACATTTTCCCCACGCTAAAGTGGTAAGCGGCCATCTTCCAGGCCCGACGTGTCAGACGATTGTTCGATATCTTTGGCAGATCCCTCTTTTCCCCGAAAAACCGTTCCAAGGGTTTATGGTCTGTCCGAAGTATAAATTTTCGACCGTAGATAAAGTTGTGGAATTTTTCTATTCCAAATAACAATGCCCTCGCTTCTTTATCGATAGGCGCATAATGTTTCTCCGACTGTAACAACGTCCGAGACGCGAATGCTATGGGTTTTTCCCCGTTTTGTGTTATGAAGTAAAACAGCCCCCAGTCCTGTATCTGACGCGTCACACTCCATAATCAACGGTAATTTAGCATTATATGGCGTTAAGGTTTCTTCTGTTGATAACAATGTCTTAACTTTATCGAAAGCCTCCTGCTTTACATTAGTCCAACACCATGGTATTTTTACACTAGTCAATCGATATAACTCAGCTGCTTCACTATGAAGATTGGGAATAAACCGTTCATGATACGTGACAAGCCCAAGAAATGAACGTAACTGATGAACATTCTTGGGGTTAGGTGCGGCCTGGATTGCTTTAACTTTCTCTTTGCTTGGATGTACCCCATTTTTGTCGATAACGATACCTAAAAACGAAACAGATTCCTGTAGAAATTGGACTTTTTCAAATTTAGCTTTGAGGCCTGCTTTCTGCAGCCTATCGAGTACCATTTTTAAATTAGCCAGATGTTCAGTGTCATTTTTGCTGGAGATAATTACATCGTCCATACACTCCAGTCATCGGGCAATCTTTCAAAACATTGTCCATGTAACGCTGGAAAATAGTTGGTGCGCACGAAAGCCCAAACGGCATCCATAGTATCGAAAATATCCTTTATGTGTTGAGATGACCAAATATTCTTGGGACTCTGGCTCAACGGCCATTTGTAGATACGCGTCCTTTAAATCTATCACCGTAAAACGGTTCCCCCCTTGAATCTTAACCAATAAGTCATCCAGCGTAGGAATAACGTGATGATCATATAATAGATGGGGATTTAAACTCACCTTGAAATCTGCGCAAATACGAATCTCGCCATTGTTTTTCCTGACATTTACTGTTGGGGTTGCCCATGGCACCCTAGTTATAGATGAATCGATGGGCTCCAAAATCTCCGCAGCCACAAGCCGATCAAGTTCTAGTTCAACCGCTCTGCGTAATGGAAATGGCACTCGACGAGCTGGAAACGATTTTGGAACAGCCGTATCTTTTAATTGGAGTCGCACAGCGAAATTACGTATCAACCCCGGTTTGCCGTCAAAAACAGCTTTAAACTGTTTAGCTAACAAATGCCCCATTATGTCTTCCGTTAGTGACATCCTCGATCCGTGTGAGCATCGATTGTATTCGAACGGCCAATCGGGGCTTCGGCCCGCAGGGGCACCGATTGTATTCGAGCGGCCCATCTGGTCATCTTTGGTTTGGTGGCAACTTGAAGTTATTGTTTTTCTATTCGTTTTGAGAACCTGTTGTATGCTTACCTGTCTCGGTAACTCAAACCCAAATGCTAAAATCCATGGCAACCCAAACAGAGGTAGGTCATTTGACTTTATTATAATAACTGATAAATTGCGAATTTCCTTCCCCACTTGCACACAAACCATGGCTTCACCCATAAGATCCAAAGGTTTATCTCCATAGGCTGCTAATGGGTTTGTGGAAGATGTTAGTGGTTTGCCAATTTTCTCCCAAATATTCAATCCTATAATAGAGGCTTGTGCTCCTGTATCATAATCAAAAGTGACACTAAGTCCATTTATTTTGGCTATGATCTTTGCCCTTTTATTTAATCCCCTTGTCCAGAGATTATTAATTGAATCACTTGAGTGAAAATGTGGTTTCACTGAGTTTAAATTGCGATATACAGGCTTACTACGGCAACGTGCTGCGAAATGTCCTGTTCTTTGGCACTTAAAACATGTTTTGTCTTAAGCTGGGCATAAATATCTTTCATGCCAGCCGGCACAATTCTTACATTTATTATCGTAAAACTTGTTATTAGACTTCCTATAATTAATGTCTCTCTTAACACACTCTTGTGAATTAGGCATTTTATGTTTGCAATCTTGCGGTCTGACACTATTTACCAAGTCTTTCTTGATAGTCATTTCGTTTTGAGCATTTTCTGTTGCCGTGGCCATATCTAGCACGAACTGGAACGTCAGGGGCTTTTTGTTCACATCCAATGCTAAAGGATATTTAGTCCTAAGTTCAACTTCGAGACCTGGTAGATCTATACCCGCAACTAATTGATCTCTTAACCGGCGGTCAACTTCTGACGGCGTAAAACAACACGCTTTCGCAGTTATTTTGATTCTATTAGCGAACTCTCCAATTGGTTCATTCTCATTCCTAATTAACCTTATGAAGTCTAATCTACTACCGAAAATGGTTTTATTCTTCTCAAAAATATGTAGCGAGACACTCCTTATCTTATCAAATTTAGTTGTTAGAATGGTTTCAGGAAATAAATATTGTTCGAGAATGTCAATGCCCTCAGCGCCAAAACTCACCATGAACAGGTCCTTATTTTCTTGATCGGTCGGTGTCCAGTTCTTTAGTCTTAACGTTGCGTCCCAAAATTGGAACCAACGTTGTATAGACCCATTAATTTGATATTTTTCTAACTTATCAATAATACTAGTATTTTTGGACTTAAGCATAATTTATATAATTAATAACTATTTTCTTACTTGTTTTAATTAGAATATTAGAATCCACGTCGTCGCCACTTTAACGAATGAAGAACCATTATTTATATTTATTTATTTCTATAACTCATTTAATAGGTATCAGTTTTCATTGACATTTTATTCAGTATAATTAAACATAAGGTGCAACTTAATTACAAATGGCGATATATAATTACACGTTAAGAGATTGATGTGTGCATAATACATTAGGAAGTTAAACAACACCTATTATATTAATCGTAAATATATATATATATATAATCATATCTAACTGTCAAATATAATATATAATATGATAAAATATTACAATAGATTACTTCTTTACTACAGATGAAGGTTTGCTTAATTTAAACTTGCTCATTCTTTGTATATACTGAAAGATACTGAGTTGGTGAGTGGGAGGTTTAAAATATTTTTAAAACAATGAGTAGGTGAATTTGAAATATATTTCAGGCAAAATGAGCAACTGATTTCTATTAAGTATAGTATACATAAAGAGCCAAATCAACCAAATAATAATTTTAAAGCAAATTTAATTAATATATAGATTGTGTAAGAAATAATTTGGTTTGTTTTTATTGATATAGATTTTGGCGTGATCTAATTTATATAAAATTATATAATTACAAAAAAACAGAAAATATTATACTTGTTTTTTTTTCTCTTTTCATATGAGATATCCTAAAAAACTTTAAATATGTATTAATTAATATATCGATGTGTAAAGAATGAAATATTAATAGAAGATGGTAAAAGATGTGTATGATGTATAAGAATATGTTTATGATGTGTAATATAATGGTAGATGTGTGAAATATAATGATCGAAAGTGTATGAGTTTGTTATTATGAATGAATATCATTGGACCGATTACGCTATAATAATTTTTATTGGACAAATATTTTTTTTAAAAAAACTATTGGTTAATTTTGATTGACGTTTTTTGAGGATTATTATAATAGATTTTCTGATTTGTTTTAATTAGAATACTAGAATCCTTAGATTGCGCCTATAAACTAATCCGCTTGTACTAAACTATACATGCACAGGTTTATTCAGTATTAAATATTCACGAGGTTGTTGATCATATAATCGATTGCGGAAATTATAATCATAATTGATGCTACGGGTGTTAGGTAACCTCTCCCAATATTATATTATTGATAAATATATATAATCATTATAACATATCTAATTGACGAATATAGTAATTCATAAAATATAAATAGTATATTACAATATATTCCTACATTACTACAAAGTAGTATATAGATCAATGATATATTGTACCAATTATTGTGGAAAAAACCAACACTTCCATTTTTTTAATAATATTTTTACGTTTAATATCATTTTGATAAGTTCTAAATGAACTTTCACAAATTCGGCATAATATAGACATACTAGATGAAGGAATCACTAACCCCCCTTGTGGTAAATAATTTTTCTTTTTAATGTTTCATATGTCGCGGAATAATTATGATCATTTATTATATGTATAATTGGATCATTTTCATATAATATATCACTTTTTAATGGTGATTGTATGTTATTTGAATAAACATTCGTTTTCTAAAAAGTATACATTTTAAAATATTGTTTTAACTATGTAATGATATTGTTAACATACATCATGAAGTGGCTTAGATATACTAAATATTGATGGAATTGAATCTTCCTTCAATAAAATCTTTCCGGATAAAGTATGAATGAAACAAGTATTTTTAAAATGCCTTCTACAAATAATACTATATTTATTAGGCATAAAATTTTTTCTATTTATAGCCTGTAACCATTTTTCCAATAATTCTTTGGATTTCAATGGAAATCTATATTTAAAAATAGGTGAATAATAATGAGTAAAATATAAGATATATTTATGACATTGATACAAAGATAGATAGTATATAAAAATCAATATAAATATCAGATCGGTTATTAGTAATATAGTATTGAATCAGTGAAAATTTGTTGATTGGCAGAGCCTCTATTAATATATATATGGTTTACATATTTCTTACAAATATTTAAAATGAAACTGTATCATAGTAAATATGTATTTTAAAATGGCTAACTTAATATTTTATCCAGAAAAATATTTAGGCAAAGTTCAAAATAGAAATCTTATCAACTCAATAGGAAGAAGCATTATTTGTCCTAGCAATAAAAATGAGAAAACTTTATATTTTTACTAAATAAGGATTTTTTTTCAATGTTTGTAGCTTATTAATGCTTTATGTAATAAATATGTTGCATATATAAAATAATATATATACTTATGATAAGAAATATGTGTATTAGATTCTATTTTATATGTTTTATTACAATTATGAACACAGCACACTCCCATTATCTAATTAAATAATAAATGATAGTGATATTATAAGATCTGTTTTGCATGTATCCTAAGATGCATTAACATAAGACTTATAAGTCCATGCAGGATTAGGTTAAACTATATTTTAAAAAATTAAAAGGTGGGTTAGTCTTAGATTCATTTTTTAAATATAATCACCTACTCCACCTTCATAAAAAAAAGTCTTATGAAAATTTAAGAATAAAAGATACTATAAAATATTATATCATAAATCACCTTTAAAACTAGACTTGTTTTCTATATATTAATATTTCTTGCTGACAAATAATGGATAACCAAACTACAAAATGGCGCTACAGCTGATTACAATGTGTGGACACTTTTATAATGCATTGAATGAATGAATCGCCAATCTATAGTTATATATATCATTGATATAGATATTCTTTTGAAATAATATATATTATTTTATATATTTTTATGCAACACCAATGATGCACAAAATTATTTTAAGTTATAAATTTATTAAAAAATTAAATAATTTTATAGACTATAATTTTAGTATACAATTTTTTTTATAAATGCTTATTTTGAATGAAAATTTGTTGGAAAGAAATAGTAGAACTGACATTTTTTTATATGATGTTTAAATTGAATAATAACAAAATATAATATTGATTACGTTAAAGTAACGGCTAACTCTGTATGTATTATAATGGTAAGCCTGGGGTTAGGTTTTTCGGTGTATAGTGCATATGGAATCTTAAATCAAAATATAATATCTTATATATAAAGGAATTACTTGTACAAGCGTGTTTTCTAGCGTGCAAACCGGTACAAATTTTTAAGTTTAAGTTTATCTTTATTACGGAAACTGTTGAATAATTGAGATTATGCTTTTCGGTCAAAAATTGTAGGAATTATGTTAAATCCTTGTTCATAATTTATTTTGATAATAATTACATTTTATTTTATTATAAATTATATTTTATTTTTAATCATAATTTACATTTTATTTTAAATGATAAATTACATTTTTTTTTATCCTCTTTCAACAAAAACAATTTCCCTTTATATATCTTTTTTTAAACAATAAAAAAATAACTAATTGTGTGAAATACAAATTGATAATAAAAAAAATGTCACATTAAATATATAAAAAAAAATTAAATTTTAAACTAACTATACATAATGGGATACTGTGTAAAACAAAACTGGAGATTTGAAGGTTAAAGAAATCTTCAACACTGAATTCAATAACTATTCTCTATCTCGCAATTTTTACAGATATCTACATGATTATTTTGTCTGTATTATATTTGTTATGAATATTATATTATTAATATTTTTGATTTTTATTAAAACTTTTTTATTTTTCAGATAAGAATTATTCGTATATTTTATTAGTTTGTTAAAAAATATTATTTTTTATGTAATGAAACTTAAAACTATTCAAATATAACTTTTAATATATTTTATCACTTTATTTATTCTATTTTTTTATTATTTTGTAAAACATGTATAAGGAATGTAAAATAGATAATTTTTCATTATAAATTTTTTTATGACTATAGGAGAAAATAAAGATAACTTGTCTTTAAATTATTGTTACTTATCTTTATCGATTATCTGATAACACAATATGGTGGCAATGCTATTCAAAGTTAGAAAAAATAAAAATCATGCGAGAAATGTTTTTTTATATAAATATAAAATTTTACACATTATTATATATATTTTTTTAATATTATGTATAATTGTGGTGTTTTAAGAATAAGATTCCTCATTATATTTAAATTATCTGCCGTTACCACCACTTTTAATAGACTGGATCTAAATGTAAATGGTTTTGTAAGAGAAATTAACAGACCGTAGGGAAGAGATGATAGAGATTTTTAATCAAGTCCATGGTAGTATATGCCATGGGGAATAATTTACCATCAATGCCAGACATTATGAAAGAAAATTTAAAATTATTTATATTTATATGCATTTTGTTAAATTATAATAAAACAAAATGATAAAAGAAGCTAACCCAATAATTTATAATAATAATAGCATTGATTATCCAAAGCTTACAGATAAATTTGTGGTTTTTATAAATAAATTCTAAGCTATTTTCTAGAGACACCTAAATCACTGACGCTGTAAAAGTTATCTAATTCTTCCAAAGGTTACCTGATGATGAATATATTAAATTGGAAGTAATTTTTACCCTCTCTGAGTTCTCTAATCCTACGTCCTAAGAAATCGGTAACGTCAAAATTAATTTCAATGCGGCGATACATAAAAAAAAATACAAAACGTATCAACTGGGTACGTCATATCTAAATTTTGCAAGTTTTGTAACAAATTATGATAGAGTCATTTAGAAAGCAAAAATATATTCCTTAAATAAAAGTATTAGACAGAAAATTGCTTTAAAAGATAACATTACTATAATAGAAATATTAAGTATAGATAACAAGATAGAAGAATCAGAATTAAAAAATGAGTCGATAATTTATACCGTTTTTATTCCATTTGTGGATTTAATTTTGAATAAAATCAACCTCGATTTGTAATTTATAAATGACTCTATCCAATTTACAATATCTAATAACTCTCTCTGATCTGAGGATATCTCAAATCTTGATATTGAAAAATTAAATATTTATAAAATTTATTCTGAAGATATAAATGTATCTGAAGGGCAATTAATTTCAGAATTTAAATGGCATGATAGATTTATTTATATAAGTGGAAGCAGTGCATAATTTAAAATCTATTTAATAAGGTACTTATACCATATGAGAGGACCTTTTATATCAAAAGTTTGACATCTTTAAATGATTCAATAGATTTCCAAGATCTAATCCCCAACACGAAACAAATTCTAAAAAATTGGCCCAATCGCAAGGAAGATTTAATTTTTATTTATGAACGATATTTTCACTAACTTTTTAAATTATTATAAAATGTTTAATTTTATATTTATTGTGATTTAGATACCGGTTTATAAAGCTAAAATATTTTTCAACCGTATAATATTCGCTCTTAACATTTTGTATTTTCCAATATTTATTATTTGTGTTAGAAATTATCATATTTTCAAATATGATTTGTTTTAATAAATTTTATATGATTAGTTCTAATAAAATTTATATGATGATTAGTTCTAATAAAATTTTTACGATGATTAGTTCTAATAAATTTTTATGCTCTAATAAAAAGTATATATATATAAATATCAATCTGCCCCCCCCCTCCCTATTTTCATAGAAAATTTCTATATAAACGTCTGTATATTAATAATTTATTAAAACTTTATATCATTCAGATAAGAATTATTAAAATATATTATAAAGTTATTGTTAATAATTCTTATTTTTTATATAATTAAACTGAAAACTATTCAAATATGACTTTTATTTATATGTTATATATTTTATCATGTAATTTATTCTAATTTTTTATTATTTTGTAAGACATATATAAGGAATGAAAAATAAATGATTTTTTATTATAAATTTTATTATAACAATATGAGATAAAAAGATCATTTGTTTGACTTAAAATTATTGTTACTTAAAATATTTTTATAAAAATAAAAATAGTTTTGGTTTCACTTATTTTTTATAAAAATCCTTTTTCTTTCTAAAAATTTTAGATTAGTGTGGTTAGTTAAAATACATATTATCTTTTGCTAAATTTTCTTTCAAATGTTTTTCTATAGTGGTTTGTGAGGAATTGGAGGTGGGGAAGGGAGGGGGTAGAGGGAATTTTTTTATAGCTTTAAATGATATTTATAAGATAGACAATTTTGTAATTGGGGGATTTTCTTATCCTTTAGTTCGCATTTAATCTTATTAAAGAGTTATCTTTTAAAATCTCAAACCCGAAATATCTATATTTATTTTCCACGGGCTTAAAAATCTATCTTTTTAATGAATGAAAAAGAAATAACGCTTTCATTATGGGATTTTAAACAATGTGATTCAAAAAAATGCACAGGCAGAAAATTGTTACGTTTTGGCTTAGTTAAAAATATTAAACTTAGATCCCATTTTTCTGGTATTCTTTTAAGTCCTTATGCATCAAAATACCTATCTTCTGCTGATTTGTAATATTGTTTATTTATAATAATTAAAGAGCTAAATTTTAAGAAATATAATAGAGAAACATGGAATTGGTGCTGTTGATTGTTCCTGGAATAGAATTGAAAAGCAAGAATTTATATATTTTAACCAAATGTTATCACGAAAATTGCCCTTTTTAACAGCAGTTAACCCTGTTAATTATGGTAAACCCTTTAAACTCTCTTGTGTAGAAGCCTTTGCTGCATCTTTATATATTACTGGTTATTTAATTAATTTTCATATCTAACATATTTTATAGGGTTTTCAAATTCTGCAACAACAATTCTTGAAAAGTTTAAATGGGGATCAAATTTTAATAAAATCAATAAGCAACTTTTGAAGAAATATTCAAAATGTGAAAATAGTGTAGACATAGAAAATTTTCAAAATAAATTTATATCTTTCACCCAACAAGATGGAGTTGAAGGCTATACAGTAAAGGATATTAATTATTTGCGAGATTTAGAAAAGAGTTCAGACTCTCATGACACTGACAGTGATGAGAATTCATGCCCTGGTTATTTAACATTTTTTTATAGCTACAAAACATTATATTAGAAAGTTTTAACCCAAATCATAATTCAAGCTATGAAAATCATCTGTACCCACCTTCATATTCAAGTTCTGAGCCTGATTAACATATTATTTGTATATTTACTGATTTATATATTATTAAAAAATATATGCAATATGAGCATAATAATATGTTATAAATTATTTAAATTAACTTATAGCAGTTTTAGGATAGCCTTTGATAATGTTGTAAACCTTTATTTTAGCCTATTTTTTTTAAAAAATAGTTAAATTAAGATTGTATCTAAAAAAATATTATATAGGACTTGAGATTTTACTTTTATCAAATGATGGTTAAAAGGTTTATCCCTTTTTGGGAAAATCTGTATACTTGGGTAACATTTATTTGACTAAAATCTTGATAACAAATTTGCTATCTTTTGGACAAATATTGAAATGTGTATATTATTTATTTAGTTAAACTCTTATTAACACTTGTTTTAGCTAATTTTATTAATTGTAAAAGTTTGCAAATTTCAAATAAGTATTTTTGTAGGGTTGTGCCAATATTAAATATCGGATCACCACCGATATTTAGCATTTTCCAAAAATATTGGATCGGGCCGATACCTGTAAAAACCCCAATCCGATCTTTTTACTTTCCTTTTTTTTTGTTAATTTTTATTTTACATTAATAATATTTTCTAAATAATTTTTTTATTTAAACAATGCAAATGTACAACACCCCTCAAATTTTATATATTTTTTTAAATAGATTTATAGTATTTTAAAAGTTTTTTTTATAAATAGAAAGGAACACCCAAAGTTTTATTTATTTTAAATCTCTTTAAATAATGACAATTTTATTATTTATACTTTAAGTAAAAGAATTTTTTTAATTATGGTATTTGAATTATGGAAATATTTTACAGAAGACAGAGATAATTTTGCAAAATGTGTTATCTGCTGAATTCTGATTTCATGGTTAGGAATAATGAAAAATTCATTTAACCCTTTTGTACCCGGAATATTTCCCATGAACAAAAAATACTTGTACTTTGATATAATAAAATAATGATTTTGTAATTTTGATATAATAAAATAATGACTTTGACAGGTTAATGATAAAATACGAAATAATAAATATTGTTTTATAAATTAATATCTCTAAGTACCAACCATTAGTTTCTTTAAATATAAAAATTAATTGATTAAAAATTTTGATGATAAATGATCTCGCTGGGTGCGAAAGGGTTAATACTACCAATATCCAAAATTTTTTAAAATTATTGTAGAAATAAAATACTAAATTAGATGCACAATTCGATTTTTTGCATAAAAATATTGATTTCTTAATAACATTTGGTTCAAAGGGGGGGGGGGTGCTGAAAAATCAATATAAATATTGGATCGGTGAAAACTATGTGAATTGGCAGCCTTACTTTTTTGGTAAAATAGTTTTGTACAAGTTGTCTTTCTTAGCTTTTAATACTTTTTTTATAGAAGAAGAAGGAAAAAATTTGCCTAATTTAGGATTCATAGACATTTTTTTTTAAAGTTTTTTTTGGCCTACTCCAGGTTTTATATTATTAAGCCTAGATTTTTTAAAAATATATTATATTTATTTTTAATTTTTATAGCTAATAATGGTGATTTAAAATCTTTGGTTTTAAAATATATGGCCCGGTCTTTTTTTTGGCCTGGGTGTATTTAAAAAACCTGCACATCTCTGATATATATATACTGTTATAAGAATTTATTTAATTAAATCACGATTTTTTTGATTTAAATCAAATTTTATAGCAGTTGTGTTGTTGAAAATAAATCCGAGACCGTCATGAATAATTTAACTTTATTAATTCAAAATAAAAAAACTAACTCCTTAAAATCTGCCGAAAACGGCTATTTTATTGATGAAAATACGATAAATAAAAATAATTCTTACACATCCGAATAACATGACTCATTGTGAGACTTACAATCCAAAAACAAATCAATGCGCTAAGGTTAACAAACCGGATTATTGCGGGTGATAAAATACATAAAATGAATTTACAAAAACCAAAATATATACCAGTACAATAATTAAAAAAACGCCAATTATGACATCTCCCCCTTTTACAAACGACCGAATAGCTTCCCCTACTGTTGACTGCTGCATTATTCCCGGCCATACTTTTCATTAGTTTTCAGTGGACCTTGATCTTTTGTTACGCAATATTTTTATAGCCCTTTTTCTTCTTTCGTCTTCTATAAGTTAACGGGGCAAATCAAAAAAAAATGAACCTTACCTAAAAATAATAAACAATCAAGGGCACCTACATAGAACTTAATTTAAAAAAACATATTTTCTCATAAAACTTGATTTTTAAAAAACATTTTTTTCCTTAAACACTTTTCACATAATAATATTTTTCATATACAACTTTTTTCGTTTATCAAAACTTCATTATAAAACAACTATTCCTCCAATCTCATCACTCATCCATCATAAATCACATTTTTTTCTCAATTACAAAAAATTTTTTCTTTAACAAGAACAACTTTAATACAAATATATATTTTTTTCCCCTTTTTTTAAAAAAAAAAATCTGATCCTATTTTTATTCTCTTACCCTTATCCTTATTCAAATTTTACAACCAAAAAAAAAAGGAAACAATCTTCAATTTATATATATTATTAATTAAGCTTACTTCAAATCATTTTATATATCTTATTACATTTATATATACCTATTAAACTTTAAATTATTTTATTCTTATTATTATTTTTTACTTTTTACAAAAATGACAAAAAAAAATGACCTATAAATCCCATAACATTTTACTCACCTTCCCCCTCTACATTTACAAGCAAAAATATTTCGATACCTGTTTTTGAATATACAATTTTTTTTATTCGGGTCTTAGATTGCTTGCTACAAAAATAAAGCCTTCAATAAGATATATACGATATAATATTTTATGAAATAAACTACATAATTTCGACTATAACATCAAATTAAATTGCGAAGAGATTAAAAATTTGACTTAAGCAGGAATATATTCCTATACAAATTAATAATTATGAAACATAACAATTGTCATGACGTCCTCGATAAACCATCATATATCATCATTTTCATCCTCCCAATTTCATCATTATTCACCCATCCTCTCTTTATCTCCTATACTGGTAACCACGTTACTCTACCCAATCTATCATTCTCTCCATTATGTCCCTCCACTAATAACGACTGCCCTCGAATTAGAATACTTCTCTCTCTCCGTATTTTCCTACCAAAGTATATACCACACAACATCACTAATATGACCACTGCCCTCAATGCATTGTACTCTAACTCCACGTACTTTGATATTTTAAAACTCTTCATTTAAGTAACAGAATAATTAATTAAACAAGTTGAAAAAAATTTTTATTTTATTTTATCCCTAAATTAATTAAATCTATATAAATATTCTAAAAAAAACAAGCTAACTTAAAATATATTTATAAAAAATTAATAATTAACTTAACTAAAAATATTTAACTATAATAAACAATCTAACTTAAAATATATAACTATAATAAACAATCTAACTTAAAATATATTTATAAAAAATTAATAATTAACTTAACTAAATATAACTATTTGCAAAGTTATACAATATGATATAATTAATAAAATCAACACTGAAACGATACAGAGTACATAACATATTTTCACCAACTTTTAAACACCACTGTAACCCAATTCACAATTTTTCACTATCACTTTCAATAACCACGGTACTCCACAATATCCCCCCCCCCTCCTCCCAAAAAAAGAAAATACCCAACAGAAGTGCCGTTAACAATATTCACTTCAATACCACAGCTAACCAACTGCCCTAAACGTTAAGTTTTTTTTTACAAATATAAGAATAAATTGACCTTGTTCGGTCACGGCACCACATAGGAATTTTACAATACGAATAATAACCCAAAGTAAGTAGAATAATAATTAAATTAATAATCATATATTGCCTCAAAATCCTTTTATATTCTACAATAAAATAAATAATTCTCTAAAATAAAATAGGACTCATCCTGAGTCTTTTAAATTACACAATTCAAAGTCAAATGCTTGCGCAGTTGTCATACGGACAAATTATTATAAAAAACCTAAAATGAAGATAAAAGATATATACAACAAAATAAAGAAAAACATCACCAATTATAACAAAATTGACGTCCTATTAACTACTCTCGGCATTTTGTCATATCAAAAATAACGGCCAAAGCTTCTTGTTAACCGAATTTCTAATTTCCGCCTCACTAAAAATTCCTGAGAAAAACAACACCGGTCTTTTCAGCTCGTCTATGCAATGTAATAACACTCCTCCTACACCTTTATTGGGCGCATCTACGGCTAACACCACTTCCAAACAGGGTAGCCAGGTCAAAATTTTCAAATTGCGTGAGAAATTTGGTATTTTGTGGGAGAAATATAAAAATTGCGGTAAAAGGCCCGCAAAATCCCTGCCGAGCCGGGATTTTGAATTAGCTTAATTATCCGCCTATTATTTTTTATAATTAGTTTATATAAATACAAATTCGGTAACTATTTTTCAAAATATAATAACATCTTGATTTATCAAAATATATTAATTTATAAAAAAGAACCAACGATCCTTTTTAAATATAAAAGAATGTAAACAAGATAAAATTTTATAAAAAAACAAACGATTTTAATTTTACAATGTAAAAAATATATTTTATGCGAATGTCCCGCAAAACATCCGCTAAAACGACCTTGTGTGTGTATTTATAGGGATAGGTAATTATCACATATCACGTTTAAATACATAATAAGGTAATATTGTACTCATTTCAATGATAATTATTTTATTTATTATTGTTCATTCACATTATTATAATCGGTGCAGGAGAGTGTATCTACATCCATTGCAAAACAAAAATATTTTCCCAAAATAAGAAATAATACAAATGCAATTACAATTGCAGCAATTGTAATCACTTATCCTGTAGTACAACATTCACAGAGCTACTTATCATATCAATGTGGGTAGAATCTTTCCCCATAACTTTACTTGTAGAACATAAATGAGCAAGGATATCATTAATGCTTAAAACCTGAATTCAGGAGATCAATTGACGATTTGAAAGATGGGCATTAAGGGAAATATTAAATTATTTCTTTTAATCCTTCGCTATTTTAACAAAATTAAGGTCGTTTTAAGAAAACTATTAAATT